ATTTCTAAATTTCTAAATAGGCACCTCAGCAAAATAAATCCCTATTAGGTCATTATATTCCCTACTATTACTATAAAAGATCATATAAAACTACACTACAGTGAGTTGTATCCTTTAGGTGGCCCCATTACTTTTTTGGGCTCTTGTGTAGAAACACAAGAACCAGCCATTTTATTATAGAATATCATATATCGCTTCACTAAAGTAACCTGTACTCTTTATGTACCCCCATTGACTTTTTTGGCTCTTGTGTAACAACGCAATAAGATGTACCAATACGTCCTTGGATGGCAAGAGTGATATCATGGTCATCGCTGCAGCTTTTTTAGAGCCGGCAATGCTAAACAAAGTAAAAATAATCAGAGCGGTAACTTTTACAGGTGGCGTAACCCACATGGAAGAAAAATGTATTTGAAATATATTTTAAAAATATTCTTCCCAAATAAATTGACATATACAGTATTTGAAATGGCCATATTCAATATATTTCAAAATATATTTCAATAAATATATATATATATATATATATATATATATATACACATACATACATACATATAGACACACTGCATGTTGAAATGCATTTCTATTACAAAATATATGAAAAATATTTTCAAAAAAACATTTCAAATATATTGTCTTTAAAAATACAAATCTACATTTTTGGAATGCATGTACAAATATATGTAAAAAATATGTGTTAAAATTACTTTTTTATATGTCACAAAAAATCTGAATCATATATTTTAAAAAATATATATTTTTTTAAAAAATATTCAACATGCAGTGTATATATACTGTATATATATATATATATATATATATATATATATATATATTCTCCTAGATTGTAAGCTCGAAAGAGCAGGGCCCTCAATTCCCTCATGTTTTGCATTGTATTGGTATTGTTCTGTCACATGTTCTGTCCCCCTTTGTAATGTACAGCGCTGAGCGAACTATTGGCGCTTTATAAATACTGTATAATAATAATTATATATATATATATATATATATATAGAGAGAGAGAGAGAGAGAGCATTTCAAATATATGTCAATATATTTGGGAGGAATATTTTAAAAATATATTTCAAATATATTTTTCATCCTGCCGCCACTTTTATTGGAATCTCCTGAGCAATCGGGGAGCCCGGCAAAGATGCAACCGACAGCATCCAGTTCCTGAGACACAATCATAGGAACTAATGTCATTCTTCCCACTGCGTGACATCAGAAATCGGAAGTGACAACAGTTTCTTCAATTCAGGTTTCGGTCTCATGTAAACAAGGCATTACCGGCTTGTAAAAGCATTGGATCAAACCGATCTTAGTTTGATCTGATGCTTTGGAGGGCAGAAGAGAAATATGAGGTTTAATAGACCCCAGATCTTTTCCATAAAGCGGACCTGTCATGGCCCATGCTATCACAATAGATGTTGTTCATCCCTTCTGATAGCAATAAAAGTGATAAAAAAAATTAAGTTACAGTGTAAAACGAGTAAATAAAATAAATAATAAAATAATTTTAAAAATTTAAAGCGGCCCATTTCTGCATGCTCACATGCAAATGTGAATGCACACATTGGTCCCACATTCATATGTAAATGGAGATTTTTAGGTACTGGAGTATGGCGCCATTCCCTGGGCTTCTGCAAAATTATAAAATGTGACATGTTTGGTGGCTATATACTTGGCGTAACATCCATCTTTTATATTTTTCCAAACAATTGGGTATTATATTGTGTTTTTGTCTATTAAAATTAATTTAAGTGTATTTTTCCCAAAAAATTTGCATTTGAAAAGCCGCTGCTCAAATACTGTGTGGCATAATATGTAACGCCCACCATTTTATTTTCTATGGCCTCTGCTGAAAAAAAAAAAAAAAAAAAAATATATATATATATATATATATATATATATATATATATATATGTATGTATGTATACACACACACACACTGTATTGGCAGAAATATTGGTACACCCCTCCAATTCATTGGATTCAGGTGTTCCAATCACCACCGTGGCCACAGGTGTATAAAATCAAGCACCAAAGCATGCAGACTGCTTCTACAAACATTTGTGAAAGAATTGGTCGCTCTCAAGAGCATAGTGAATCCAAGCGAGATACCGTGATAGGTTGCCACGTATGCAATAAGCCCATCTGTGAACTTTCCTTGCTACTAAATACTACTAATATACTACAAAATACTCCCACAAATACGGGCCGTTGATTGCAAACAAGATTTGTTAATTTGCACACACAAAAAAGTATTTTTCCTAACAAATTCATACAAGACCATGCTGCAAAAATGAATACACCCCAATGAAAGTCTTAGGAGCAAAGCTAAATTTTAGACAACAAAATATTAATTAACAAGAATTCAACTACAGGTGAGTCTAATTATTCATTAAACAGATGTCCAGAAGACAGTTCATTATAAAAGGGCATTCCTTAACAAAATAAAAACCCCTTCCCATTGTATGCTGTCAGCAATGGCACCACATGGAAGAGAAATGTCAAGGCCTGAGAAAGAAAATAATTTCTTTACACAAGAAAGGTTAAGGCTACAAGAAGATCAGTAAAGCTTTACTTATCAGTCAGTCAGAATACTGGAGCAAAAGTGAAACAAAAATTTAACAAAGATGAAACTGCAACTATCTCACAGAGACACCCAGGCCATTCATGGATGTTAACACCTTGACAGGAGTGTCTTCTGATGAGAAGGATTGAAGAAAATCACCATGCAAGCTCAAAAAAGTGGAATATTCTGCAATGGCCAAGTCAGTCACCTGATCTCAACCCAATTGAGCATACATTTCACTTGCTGAAGGCAAACCTAAAGGCAGAAAGACCCACAAAGATCAACTGAAGACAGCTGCAGTTAGAGCCTGGCAAAGCATCAGAAAGGAGGAAACTACTCTTAAGATCTGTAATTCCTAAACCCTTCCTCCAATTTGGAAGTATATACACTCAAATTAAACCTGAGAATGTTCACTTTCAGCCCATATCCATTATATAACGATAGCTTGAATATGTTTTGGTAAATACCTGAAAAACCTATAATTGTGCCTGTGTCCAAATATATATTGATCTAACCAGGGGCGCGGACTGACAACTCATGGGGCCCCCGGCAATAGGGGATCATGGGGCCCCTGTGTCCTTGCCCAAACTTAAAAAAGCCTATGAAAAAGGTACCAGGGGCATCTCATGGGGCCCCCTACTGACCCCCCGGGCAGTGCCCAAGTTTCTAAATGGTCAGTCCACCCCTGGATCTAACTGTGTGAGTGTATATATATATATATATATATATATATATATATATATATATATATATACACACACACACTGTACCCTAATATGCACCCTACATTGCCTTTGACTTATTATTATTATACAGGATGTATATAGCTCCAACAGTTTGCTCAGCGCTTTACAATATAACTGTTTGGGCTCTTATGTTGCAGAACAAGTTTCACCTATTATTGCTATGAAATATCAGATCACGACACCAAGTGACTTTTTGGGCTCTTGTGTAGCAGCACAGGTGACACCTACTATTACTAAAACATATCATATATAACTACATTACAGTGAACCGTACCCTTTATATGCCTCCACTGACTTTTTGGGCTTTTCTTTAACAGCACAAGTGCCACCCGCAGTAGGTCAGCCTCAGTTAGCATTGTGCAGATTGCCCATGCCACAATAAAGCTTTTAATATCAACTGGATAATCACTTTGCCTGACAATAAACGAAATAAGAAACCCTTGAAAAGCAAAACAAAGCTTCAACTGAAAAAAAGAAAACTGATACAAAACAAACATAATAAAGTATTCTATTTGCAGGCGAGTATGTTTCAACCAAAAGGGAAAGATAAGCAAGATTTTGTCACGGCTGAAAGTAATCCCTTTCTTGTTTGTCGAAAACTATTTCACCAGCTCCCTTTCAAATCTTTTTGATCATAATGAAAAGGAACAAATGCAACTTCACAGCGATGAACAATAAAAACATATTCACACATAAATACAAACACAAATACGTATCTTGCTGCATCTGCTTTTCTTCTTGAAAAAAAAAAAGGAAGAATGTTTTATACATGCCAGCCTTGGGCACATTTCTCATTTCAGGAGGTAAGAACTGAAGCTCTTACTTCCAGTGACAGGTGAACCACAGGGGATGGAACGGATCAAGATATGCACAGAGCAGCTGTCTACCTTTTTGGCTTTCCTCAGATACATCCTGGCAGAGTCCTTGAAAGCTTCCTCCTCTTCGGGCTCCTTGGCTTGCAGATAACAGACCCATCCCAGCAGATACCAAACCTACAAGACAAGGCCGTTCTTCAGGTCACAAAGTGCATAATTACAAGCAAAGAACAGCAAGCCAGACAGGGAAGGAAGATAGGAAACTTAGTTATTAATATTTCTCCTGGATAGGCACCAATAGCAACCAGTCAGTGTGTACGAAGAATAATAATACTGTTTTCTATCGATTTTCGTCAGTTTATATTACTGCACTTACCTTCTTCCATAGCAAGGTATAGTTATACTTCAAAGAGAGAAGTTAAAGCTAAACTCCGATAAATTCAAAACTACCCCAGCAATGCAAGGGTTGAATGCTAATTTTTTTGTCTAGGATGCTTTAAAATGCAATATTCCTGTACCTTATCCCTCAATCCAGCAGGCTCCCCCTTTCTGCACATCCCCAAAGCCATTTCACTTTGGTGCTCCACCGGTTGCACCCTGATGTGAGCAGGTACAATGTAGGAAAAATGCTCGACACACCTAACCGCATGTAAACATGCCTACACTCTAGGTGTGTTTAGCGCTTGAGCATTCATTCACTTCATTGGCTTGAATAAATTAAAATTCTGGCCAACAGTATGAACATCCAAGCACGTGATGTACCCAAATGAGTTTGGGCTTTTGGTGCGTTTTTTAAAGGATAAGTTCACCTTCGGGAACATGTTACATGGTCCACCCATTTTTTAGGGTGGAACATGTAACACCGGGCTTGAAAAAGCCGCTCGCCTGCCCACCAAATGCAAGGAGAAATTCCTCTGTAGCGAGCGGCTGCGAACGGTGAGCACAGATGAAGCATGGAGCGACTGCACCTGCCATCCAAGCCTCATTGTGAAGCCGAGTTCCGGTTGACAACTTCCGGTTTCCGGCTTCTGCGGCACCGCCGCCTAGGGGACAGGTCCGCTCTCCTCCGCTGAGAGGAGACACCCTCTCCACCGCTGCGGGGGACTCGGGGGGGACAGTAAGTACTGTATACAACATGTCCTATCACTATAATGGAGTACAGGGGAGGGGGGATATACATTACTGTGTACAAGTCATATCACCATAATGGAGTACAGGGGAGGGGGGATATACATTACTGTATACATGTCATATCACTATAATGGAGTACAGGGAGGGGGGATATACATTACTGTATACATGTCATATCACTATAATGGAGTACAGGGGAGGGGGATATACATTACTGTATACACGTCATATCACTATAATGGAGTACAGGGGAGGGGGGATATACATTACTGTATACACGTCATATCACTATAATGGAGTACAGGGGAGGGGGGATATACATTACTGTATACATGTCATATCACTATAATGGAGTACAGGGGAGGGGATATACTACTGTATATACATGTCCTATCACTATAATGGAGTACAGGGGAGGGGGATATACATACTGTATACATGTCCTATCACTATAATGGAGTACAGGGGAGGGGGATATACATTACTGTATACATGTCATATCACTATAATGGAGTACAGGGGGAGCTGGGATATACAGTCATGGCCGAAATTGTTGGCACCCTTGATATTTCTCCAGGAAATCAGTATTTCTCACGAAACGTAGGGCATTAACACTGTTTTGCTATACACATGTTTATTCACTTTGTGTGTATTGGGACAAAACAAAAAAAGGGAGGAAAGAAAGCATTTCGACATAATGTCACACAAATCCAAAAATGGGCTGGACAAAAGTATTGGCACCCTTTACAACTGCGGATAAATAAGAATGTTACAAGCATGTGATGCTCCTGTAAACTCACCTGGGGCAAGTAACAGGGGTGGGCAATATAGAAATCACACCTGAAAGCAGATAAAAAGGAGAGACGTTCACTTAACCTTTGCATTGTGTGTCTGTCTGTGCCACACTATAATGGACAACAGAGGAGACGAGAACTGTCTGAGGACCTGAGAACCAAAATTGTGGCAAAATATCAACATCTCAAGGTTACAAGTCCATCTCCAGAGAACTAGATTTGCCTTTGTCCACAGTGCGCAACATTATCAAGAAGTTTGCAACCCATGGCACTGTACTAATCTCCCTGGTCGTGGACGGATGAGGAAAATTGATGAAAGATTGCAACGCAGAATAGTCCGGATGGTGGATAAGCAGCCCCAAACATGTTCCAAAGACATTCAAGCTGTCCTGCAGGCTCAGGGAGCATCAGTGTCAGCGCGAACTATCCGTCGACATTTAAATGAAATGAAACGCTATGGCAGGAGACCAGGAGGACCCCACTGCTGACACAGAGACATAAAAAAGCAAGACTACAGTTTGCCAAAATGTACTTGAGTAAGCCAAAAGCCTTCTGGGAAAACGTCTTGTGGTACAGATGAGACCAAGATAGAGCTTTTCGGTAAAGCACATCATTCTACTGTTTACCGAAAACGGAATGAGGCCTACAAAGAACAAAACACAGTACCTACGGGAAAATATGGTGGAGGTTCAATGATGTTTTGGGGTTGTTTTGCTGCCTCTGGCACTGGGTGCCTTGACTGTGTGCAAGGCATCATGAAATGGAGTACTGAGGATTACCAAAGGATTTTGGTCGCACTGTAGGGCCCAGTGTCAGAAAGCTGGGTTTGCGTCCAAGATCCTGGGTCTTCCAGCAGGACAATGACCCCAAACATACGTCAAAAAGCACTCAGAAATGGATGGCAAACAAGCGCTGGAGAGTTCTGAAGTGGCCAGCAATGAGCCCAGATCTAAATCCCATTGAACACCTGTGGAGAGATCTTAAAATTGCTGTTGGGAAAAGGTGTCCTTCCAATAAGAGGACCTGGAGCTGTTTGCAAAGGAAGAGTGGTCCAAAATTCCGGGTGAGAGGGTGTCAGAAGCTTATTGATGGTTATAGGAAGCGACTGATTTCAGTTATGTTTCCAAAGGGTGTGCAACCAAATATTAAGTTAAGGGTGCCAATACTTTTGTCCAGCCCATTTTTGGGGGTTTTGTGTGACATTATGTCATATTTGCTTTTCTGCCTCTGTTTTATATTTGTTTCCAATACATACAAAGGGGGATAAACATTGTATAGCAAAACATGTGTTAATGCAATACCTTTTTTGTGTGAAATACTTGATTTTCAGGAAAAAGTATCAGGGGAGCCAACAATTTCGGCCATGACTGTACATTACTGTATACATGTCATATCACTATAATGGAGTACAGGGGAGGGGGATATACATACTGTATACATGTCATATCACTATAATGGAGTACAGGGGAGGGGGATATACATTACTGTATACATGTCATATCACTATAATGGAGTACAGGGGAGGGGGATATACATTACTGTATACATGTCATATCACTATATGGAGTACAGGGGAGGGGGATATACATACTGTATACATGTCCTATCACTATAATGGAGTACAGGGGAGGGGGATATACATTACTGTATACATGTCATATCACTATAATGGAGTACAGGGGAGGGGGGATATACATTACTGTGTACATGTCATATCACTATAATGGAGTACAGGGGAGGGGGGATATACATTACTGTATACATGTCATATCACTATAATGGAGTACAGGGGAGGGGGGGATATACATTACTGTATACACGTCATATCACTATAATGGAGTACAGGGGAGGGGGGATATACATTACTGTATACATGTCATATCACTATAATGGAGTACAGGGGAGGGGGATATACATACTGTATACATGTCCTATCACTATAATGGAGTACAGGGGAGGGGATATACATACTGTATACATGTCATCACACTATAATGGAGTACAGGGAGGGGGATTATACATTACTGTATACATGTCATATCACTATAATGGAGTACAGGGGAGCTGGGATATACATTACTGGGGACATGTCATATCACTATAATGGAGTACAGGGGAGGGGGATATACATTACTGTATACATGTCATATCACTATAATGGAGTACAGGGGAGGGAGGGGATATACATTACTGTATACATGTCATATCACTATAATGGAGTACAGGGGAGGGGGATTTACATTACTGGATACATGTCATATCACTATAATGGAGTACAGGGGAGGAGGGATATACATTACTGTATACATGTCATATCACTATAATGGAGTACAGGGGAGGGGGATATACATTACTGGATACATGTCATATCACTATAATGGAGTACAGGGGAGGGGGATATACATTACTGTATACATGTCATATCACTATAATGGAGTACAGGGGTAGGGGGATATACATTACTGTACATGTCATGTCATATCACATATCACTATGGAGTACAGGGGAGGGGGATATACATTACTGTATACATGTCATATCACTATAATGGAGTACAGGGGAGGGGGGATATACATTACTGTATATATGTCATATCACTATAATGGAGTACAGGGGAGGGGGATATACATTACTGTATACATGTCATATCACTATAATGGAGTACAGGGGAGGGGGATATACATTACTGTATACATGTCATATCACTATAATGGAGTACAGGGGAGGGGGGATATACATTACTGTATACATGTCATATCACTATAATGGAGTACAGGGGAGGGGGATATACATTACTGTATACATGTCATATCACTATAATGGAGTACAGGGGAGGGGGGATATACATTACTGTATACATGTCATATCACTATAATGGAGTACAGGGGAGCTGGGATATACATTACTGTGTACAGTTTTATATTTTGGACTATTTATTCTAAATAAAAATGTAATTTCATAAGCTTTAAGGGGGCATGGTTGGGGGCGGACCTGGGCAAGGTTGGGTGGGGCAAATGGTGGAGAGTAAGTTTTGTGACCGGCTAGTAGGTCTGGACTCTAAATTTTAACCCCTGATGTAACATGTTCCCAATGCTGCAGCAGCTGCCCGATCTCCCCCACATCCCTTTGACAGTAGTACGGGGAGAAGTTCCCAGTACTAGCGGTCAGTTTTTTTTAAATCAGCGCAGCAGGGCTCCGCCCACATGGCCACATCATTAATTCACAGAGTTCTGTGAATAAATGACTTACAAATCTTGACAGCCTTAGCGGCTTTCGTAATGAACTACCAGGGTGCTGTGGAGCTCCGTGGTAGTTCATTGATTCTTCCTGTCAGTATATCTGCTTGCCTATACATCCTGATATACTGACAGGTCTGCAGGAGACTTGCATGGCACCAGCGATCTGCTGATCGATGGTACAATGCTTTACAGGCTCCTACAACCAAAAATAATAAATACATATTTTTTCTCCTACCAGGAGAAAAGTCCTTCAGAGGCACTCACCCAGTGGACATGAGGACTGTTTGTTGCTTCTCAAGCCCTATTTATTAGAAGCCATTGTTTCCATATACTTCTCTGATGATAGCCAACAAGAATGAAACAGTTGTATGGATTGTGGAATAGTTGGCTCTGTATTATTAACCACTTAAAGTGGTAGTAAAGATTAAAAAAAAAAAAAACCTGCAAGGTAAAGGCATAATTTGGTAGTATTAATTGCATGCATCTCATACTAGTACATTATAAGAGACTTAATAGTGTATAGAATGAATCTGCAAATTTTGGTTAGCTGCTGCTAAAACCTACCATAATTTTTTTTCAAGAAATAATCAAAAAAAAATATAATATCTCTTTCTCAGGTAATTAGAGTATCCAAAACATCAATTATCTAGATTTGGAAATTTTCAAGAAACACGACTCTTTGAGTACCAAAACATTCTTCAAAAAAACTGACAGGAATGGCTACACAACAGCTAGTTGCCACCACCCAAGATGGATAAACAATATACCCAAAGGTCAAATTTATGAGAATAAGGAGGAATTGCAGACAGATTGACGATTATGATGAACAAGCAGAGATCTTAGTCAACCGATTTAAAGAAAAAAGAGTAGAAAGAAAAAAAACTTGGAATTTATGACAAACTAAATAAGAAATATGAAGAGAGAACAGTTATTGGAGGAGAAGGAAGGAAGGCGGGATAAGAAGAAATCTTTTTGAGGGGCATTCATCACACGGGGTTCAATAGACAATCTAAATTATTTGAAATTA